ATTAAAATGGTCTGAAATATATTAAAACAGGCCATTTTGGCCAGCCAGTGTGGTTCAGTGGTTGAGTGTTGACCTATGAACCAGATCATGTTTTGATTCCCAGTCAGGGCTCGAGCCGGGATTGGGGTCTTGATCCCCAGTAGGGGGCGTGCAGGAGGCACCTAGTCAATGATTCTCTCTCGTCATTGATGTTTCTCTTTCCCTCTCCTTTCCTCTTTAAAATAAATTTTTTAAAAAAGACCTGGAGAGAAAAAAAACATTAAAATTGCTTATTTTATTTTTTATGAGCCTTTTAAAATTTTTATTAAAATTTATGTGGAGTTTGCAGGTTCTCCCATGTCTGCATGGGTTTTCTCCCGGAACTCCGGTATCCTCCCACCTCCCAGAGCTGTGCGAATAAGCTGTGGCGTCTACATTGTCCCAGTCTGAGTGAGCGTGGGTGTGGGTGTGAGTGCGTCCTGCCATGGAGGGGCGTCCTGTCCAGGGTTGGGTCCCGCTTTGCATCCTGAGCTGTAGGGATAGGCTCCTGCCACCCGAGACCCTGAACTGAAATAAATGGGTTGGAAAAGAATGCTCTTCTTGTATAGCTCACACTATGTCAATGTTTAATACTAGAAGTGCTTTGGGCATTTATTTATTTATTTTTAAATATATGTTTATTGACTTCAGAGTGGAAGGGAGAGGGGGAGAGAGATAGAAACATCAATGATGAGAGAGAATCATGGATTGGCTGCCTCCTGCACGCTCCACACTGGGGATTAAGCCCACAACCCAGGCATGTGCCCTTGACCGGAATCGAACCCGGGACCCTTCAGTCCGCAGGCCAACGCTCTATCCACTGAGCCAAACCGGCCAGGGCAAAGTGCTTGTTCTTTAAAACACACTTTGTCAAAGGACTCACCTTTAGGGCTTTTAATTGCTGTACATTTTGTAATCAGGAGTAAAATTAATAACTTTAGTACATTGAATTCAAAGACCACAAGATGTCCACTTTTTTATTTATGGGAAAGTCAGACACCCCACTGTGCCTGCGCTACTGCACCAGGATTTAATTTTATTATTATAGCTTCCGAGAGTTTTTCTGAAACTCAAATTCAAAGAACACTTTTTGTTTTGAGTAAACTAGAGAATAAAGGACCACCAGGTGCAGGGCTTGTTACAGAGTTGATGATTGGATCGCCCAGCGTGTGATGTCACTAACTCCCAGCAGTGAGCACCACCTTCTGCCCCTTCCACAGGTGAACAGCCTGACCCACCACCCCAGGTGCTCAAAGTCCCGCTTCAGCTGCCCTGCTCACTGGGATGGCATCCACTGCGCATGCCCAGAACGCGTGCCCAATGGGAGCCTGGCGCACGGGAGCAAAGGCGGGGCTACGTTATTCTCCCAGGCCAGGTAGCTTCGGAGAAAGGCAGGGACTACAATATGGCCGTGGACCAATCAGAGCCCACGATGGCAATTGTCAGCTCTGGTGCGTTGACAGCAATCGCGGGGATAGGGGGTGGGGAGATGGTTAAAATGGCGGATGTGAGAGAGGCGGGCGCGACCAGAGAACCAGGCTCGCCGAGGCGGGTGGGAGTCGGGAAGATGGGATGGGGGTCGTGGGACCACCGGGATTTCGACAGTCCCCTCTCCATGAGGGGATGAGGCAGCCGTCGTATTTCTCCCCCACGAATAAAATGGTCTTGCAGCATGGCCGCCCCTCCCCCGCGCTGGGCTCCCAGGCGGACTGTTCCATTTTGCGTCCCTCCCCATGTCCGCTGTGGTGCGTTCCAGGCTGCAGCGGTAACACTCCTGGGACGTGGGCGCGGTGGGGTGGCCCTGTCAACCTGGGCGCCATTGTCCCCTGGCTCCTACACGGCAGAGGCTACGTAAGGGCTGTGGTGCCGGCTGCAATAGTGGCCTTAACGTGGATGACTCCGACTGTGCTGGAAGCGGTGGCTTGACCTCCCTCAGCAACATCCCCCCTAGGCACACCCCACACCTGAGAACCAACCCCTCCCTCCAGGCACTGGCTGGGGCCCAAGGCCCTCTCAGCAGTTCTGGTGATGGGCACCCCTCTATGCAGCAGTGACAGCCCCCTAGGCTGCCTGAACTCCCCCCCATCCCACCACTTCACCCGCCCCCACTGAGGGTCCCCGGCCCCCTGGCCCTGGTCTCTGTTCTGAGTGTCCCAGTGGGAAGTGGAGCCTGGAGGGTGGGAAGGGACTGGTGGGACCCGAGAGGGAGCCAGCCTCAGGGAGCCCCAAAGGAAGCACCCCCAAATCTCAGGCGCCCCTAGACTTCAGCCTCAGCCCAGGTATCAGCACCGATGTCTCACCACCATCCCCAGGGCAACCCAGAACATTCCTTGCTTAGGCAGCAGTGCTCCTGAGAGTGGCATGCCCAGATGGACTTCTGGTGACTTGCCTGCCCCTGCTAAGGAGTGCTATAGCCCAGCTGCCCAGCCCCTGCTGGACCATCAGTACTAAATGGCCTACTCTCCTCTGGACCCCAGCCCAGGATTCAGCAAGTGGGACCTAGCCTCTGGCCCTCTCTGCTGGACCACAGAACTGAGTGGCTTTGGCTTCCATATCTGAACTCTGACCTCTGGCTGCCTTAGCCAGAGCACCAAAACGGAGTGGCCCAGATTTCTTAACTTGACTCCTGATCTCTCATCCCTAGTCCAGGGCCTGGACTCTCCAAACTGAGGCAAGCAGCCTCCCAGCGACTCCCTAAGAGCCAAACACATGGGCTAAGCTGCTTTAAGCAGGTGGCCAGGACTGATTTGGCCTCTGGGCCTGCACTGCCTACAGGAGCAGCCCTTTGGTTTCTGGACCCTGGGCTGAAATGTGGGAATAGTGATTTCTTCCCCCCTCCCCCCACCACCCCACCCCCGGGTTCTTCGAAGACACCAGAATTAATAACACTTTTTATTTTGGAAAACACAAACAACACTCCTGGGATCACAAAGTCAAGGGTGTGGGCAGCCCTTGAGACCTACAGACTGGGAAGTGGACACTCCTTGAGTCATACGCACAGGGGTTTGGACACTCAGGGTCACACACATTAGGGAGTAGATACTCTTAGGGTCACACATGGGTATGGACACTTCTGGTGTCACAGGCTGAGGAATGGACACTTGGGTCACATAGATTGGGGTGCAAGGCCATAGAGAACACCCATGTAGAGAGAGTTGGTGGTGACTTTAAGGGTGTGGGCAGTGTGGGGACTAGGAGAGGACCCCTGGCTCCCTGGCTAGCAGCCACAGATCTAGAAGGGAAGGAGAGCTGGCTGGCACAGTGATTTCTTGTGCAAGTGGTTGGGGGGGGGGGAGTAGGGTGGGAAACATGACGGGTGAGACCGCTGAGGTTGGCAAGGAGGGCTCCAGGAACATGTCACAGTTCTGGAGGACTGTGGATGGGTGGGTCCATGGAATAGATCTCTGAGATGGGCTGTGCAGCAGGGAGAGGTAGAGAAAGGGCAGTGGGAAGGTGGCCATGTGTTCTGGGTCTCTGACCGTCTGCCAGTGGTGGTGGAACCTGACAGTCTGATGGAGGGTGAGGAGAGGATGGGGGCGGGGGGACACGGGGAATGCTAGGCTGAAGGGATATAATTCATTTATCCAATTTAGCTATTTCATAAAAACAACTATACAGAATTATAACGTGTTAAGCTCTGTACTGATCACTGTATATGAATTATCTCATTTAGTCTTCACAACAACCTTAACTGCTATCACTATCTTCACTTTATGGATGAGAGTGCTGAGGCACTGAGAGGTTACCAGACTTTAAGCAGCTGGTAAGTGCCAGATCCAGGCTGGAGGGCTCCAGAATCAGTGGTTCTAACCATTGAGAAATTCTTATTTCTTCAGGTGTCTCTGCTTTTCTGTGCACACCCTGTCTTCACTCCACCAACCAGGACTAGCAATTGCATCTCCCCTGAGGGGCCCTAAAGCACCCATTTGCCTGTAGCATCAGTGAACAGTGTGGACATCTCTGTGGGGGGAGCTGGCTCCTGCACACTCTGAGTTTTTCTCTCCCCTTTCCCCAGGCGTGGGGGTGAAGAGATGACAGGGGAAGCCTTGTGGGAAGAGGACAGTAAGTTATAGCATAGAAATCTAGACTATACAATGATGATTCAACAAATACTGGTTGAGCTTCTGCATGCAGAGTCCTGTGCTAGGGTGGTGGGGATTCGGCAATGAATAAGACAGACAGGGCCCGGCCAGACTTGCTCAGTGGTTGAGCATCCAACTATGAACCAGGAGGTCACGGTTAGATTTCCAGTCAGGACACATGCTCATGTTGTGGGCTCAATCCCCAGTGAGGAGCATGCAGGAGGCAGCCAATCAATGATTCTCTCTCATCATTGATGTTTCTTTCTCTCTCTCTCTCTCTCTCTCTCTCTCTCTCTCTCTCTCTCTCTCTCTCTCTCCCTCTCTGAAATCAATAAAAACATTTGAAAGGGGGAGGGATGATAAGCAGAACATAATTTGGGAGCTGTGGGGAGGCAGGGGTAAGGGATGGGGAAGTGAGCTGGGTTGTTGGGGTCTCAGGAGAAAGGTGGGATACCAGGCACTTGCCACTCACTGTGTAATAAAGGAAATGTTTTAGCGCAGTAATCCTTCAGCACTAGGGGCCTAGGACCTCAGGCCTCCCAGGCTAACTGAATACTTTGGGGAAGAAGGAGGCCACTCAGCCCCATGACTATTCTCAATGACCGACCACAGAATGCCTTGCAGAAGTGCGGTAGTGGCCTCACTCTTGCTGCCAATCAGAGGGAGGAGGATCTCAGCCAGTCAGAGGGAGGTGGGCCCCAGAGAATAAGAAAGAAGGAATAGGACATGGGCTGGTCCAAAAGGTGGTCTACCCAGTCAAATGAGGAGGACCCCAAACGGAGGGCAGAGGGTCTAAGTCTGTCCTAGGGAGGAGGAGCCCAGGCCCACGGAGGGAGCTGTGGAGGACTTGTTTCCCTTGTGGTTTTTTGTACTTCCTGTTCCCCTGCTCACTGCGGAAGTTCCTCTTCTTACCCTGCACCCAGAGCCTAGCCAGTGAGGACAAGGGCAGGAGGCACCATGAGTGGGGGCCCTGTGGGAGGCAGGCCTGGGGGCCGCGGAACACAGGCGGTTCAGCAGAACATACCCTCCACCCTACTCCAAGACCATGAGAACCAGCGAGTCTTCGACATGCTCGGAAGGAAATGCTGGGTGAGCTGGGGACCTCCTGGCCCTTCCTGTCTTTCTCCCTTTCCTCCTCTTCCTCTCCTCATTTTCCTCCTCCTCTTCCGCATCCTCCCTCTCTCCTCATTTCCTCCCCTTCTTCTCTCCTCATCTTCCCCAATCTCCTCCTTCTCTTTTTTCCCCTCCTACGGTCCCTCTCCATCATCTCCTCTCCTAGAATCCACTTACCCCCATTCATCAATACCAGGAAGATCTTCATGTCTATTCACTTTCTCTCTGGTTGCGGCTCTTCCTTCGGGGCCACACCAGCCATGGGCAATGGAGGACCAAGTCTGGTTCCCAGACCCTCTGGTTGCCCCCTCCCAGACTCCACTGAACCCCGCTCTCCCCTCCCAGACATTGGCCACCACAGTTATTCAACTGTACATGGCGATGCCCCCTGGAGCCGAGCGCTGGACCAAGAAGCATTGTGGGGCTGTGTGCTTTGTGAAGGATAACCCCCAGAAGTCCTACTTCATCCGCCTTTACAGCCTTCAGGTGATCCCCGCCCTCCCCCGCTGCACATGCAAACCCATTTTCAACCTGCAAACCTAGATCTGTGTCCTGAGCCCTGAGCTCTCGGCAGATCAGTGAACCCTTGGACCCCAGAACCAAAGACTTCATCCAGATGTCAAATCTGGTTTGCCTTTCTAAGTCTGTGATGATTGACCCTAGAGTCTCCATTTCAATGTCTATAACCCCCACATATTAGTACACTGCCTAAGTCTAATCTGTTCCATAAACTCCCCTCACCCCAAAAGTGAGCATTATATTTTTTTCTGAAACTCAGATCTACTCTAAATCAACATTTTGGGTCCCAGAAATCCCCCGTCAAAACCCCTGAACCTCAGATGTTTATTTAGCTCCTAAGTCATAAACCTATGCCCCCAAACCACAAACCTGAATATGCCAAAATCTGTCCTTTTAACCCCATTGCACGGACCCCAGAATTCCTGAATCTGTCCCACAGGATCCCAATCTGAACTTCCTAGGCATATATATCCCAAATTCATCCTTCTAAACCCATAAAGATGAACCCAGCATACCCACATCAATATCCCAGAGCCATCAAATACTAACTAAACTCTTAAGCCATAACTCTGTTCTTCAAACCTCAAATTGCACATACCTTGCCTGAAACCCTCCCCACAAATTCCCAAGTCTGTATGTCTGAACCTCAGCTCTCAACCCCAGCTCCCAATACTGGAGCCCTGCCTGCCCAAATGAAGGCCTTCATAAGGGGGGTATGGGGTGGAATCTAGAATGGGCTCAGTTTCCTAGCACTGGAGTCCAAAATCCTCAAATTCAGGCCCCAAGTTCCACATCTAGGGCCCCAAACCTCAAATCCAAATCTCTCACTATGTTGTCTAACTCCCAAACTGTAACCCAACCCTCCACATCTTGACCCCTAGACCCCCAACTCTCTGATGCTGAGTTAGAAATATCCAAATCAGATCCCGGGGCTCCAAATTTGGACACCATGTTCCCTGCCCACATAACAGAGACCTGCCACCCAGGGCACACCTCAGTGCCAGTGTGTTCCCCTCCTCTCCAGACAGGCCTGCTACTCTGGGAACAGGAGCTATACTCACAGCTGGTTTACTCCACTCCCACCACCTTCTTCCACACCTTTGCTGGAGATGTAAGTGACCACCTGACCTCTGGGCCTCACTTGGGATGTGTGGGGGCGTTATGGGGAAGGTATGGGTGTCCTGGAAGGCTGCTGACCCCAAGGTGTGTGCAGGACTGCCAAGTGGGGCTGAACTTTGCAGATGAGAGCGAGGCTCAGGCCTTCCAGGCCCTGGTGCAGGAGAAGATACAGAAAAGGAATCAGAGGCAAAGTGGAGGTGAGGAGGCCTTGGGGGAGGAAAGGAGGTTGGACTGAGGTGAATGCAAGAGTGGGGAGCTGTAAAAGCCCCTCTCATGGTTCTGATTCCCAGTCTACCTGTCTCTCTACAGACAGACGCCAGCTACCCCCACCACCAGCACCAGTCAATGAAGGTGAGTCCCCTATTGCAAGTAAGGATAATAAGAGGCTAGCACAGGAACCCGTGGCAAGGTTGTCAGAGCTTTCTACCCATTCCATCTTCCCAGAGAGAAGAGGAGGGTTCCCACCCCTGCCCTCGCACCCAGGTGGAGACCAAGGGGGTGAGTGCTAATTCTTCCTTGTCTCTAGATGGACAGGTGGGTCGGTGGGTGAGTAATTTGGTGGGTGCAAAGATAAGTGGGTGATTGAGTGGGTGGATGAATGTATGGATGTGTGGGTGGAAGGATTGGTGGTGGATAGATGGTTGAGTAAGGGGATGAATTGATGGGAGGATGAAAATGTAGATAGATATATAGATGTATAGGTGGGTGTATAAATGCATAGGTGAATTGCTATGTGGATAAGTGGATGAATGGATGGAGGGATGATTTAGTAAATTAATGAATGAGTGAGTGAGTGAATGACCTGAACAATGAACAAATGAAAAAGTGATATAAAATTTCAATCAGCAAAGAAATCAATGATTGAATGAATGAAAAAATAATTTAAAAAATTAATTCGTTAATAAGCCAGTGAATGAATGAGTCAATACTTAAGTGATAAGTATGAGTGACTGAATAAATAATTGAATCAGTGAATGTATGAATGGTTTTTGGGAACCACCCATTCACTTCTCCATAAACCCTCCTTGAATCCCTCACCCACTCCCTCCATGACCATCAAACACACACAGAGATTTCCCCAAACAGTCTTCCTCTCTCTTGCCCCTATACTTTGGTTGGTAGGTAAGTGGGTCAATGGTTTAGTCACTCTATTTCCCCACAGGCCCAGCAGCTGGATCACTGTCCCTGGGGATGGGGACAGTGGACATCCAGAACCCGGACATCACGAGTTCACGATACCGTGGGCTTCCGGTACCTGGCCCTGGCCCAGCTGATAAGAAACGCTCAGGGAAGAAAAAGATCAGAAAGGCTGATATTGGTGCACCTAGTGGATTCAAGTGAGAACCTTTCTCCAGCGGGCCCACAGATTCCTGGGAGGGGGGCAGATGAGCTAAGTGGATGAAAGGATGGGCAAATGCTTGGGGTGGGGAGTGGGTAGATGAGTGGATGGGTGGGTGGGTACAAGGCCAGGACTAGGGAGAGGCAAGTGAGGCACCAAGGTTGAAAAATTTTCAGGGTCATGCAAGTTCAATTCATGACTGAGAGTGAGTGCCTCCTTAAATTTTGTACCCTAGGCGTCTCACTTGCCTCACTCTAGTTTTAACCTGGGTGGGCTGGAGGGTGAGTAGATGGGTGGGTAGATAAATAGATGAGTGAATGAATGAATGAGTGGTAGGAGAATAAATGGATAGGTGGTTGGATGGATGGGAGGATGGGTAAATGGGAAGTAGGGATAAAAGGGTGGATCTATAGGCTGATTGGTTCAAAGACAAGGTGGATGGGGGTGGATAGATGGCCAGAATTGTGGATGAATGAACAGTTCAATGGATAACTGGACAGAAGTGTGTGGTTGAATGGAGACAAATGAGTGGATGAATGGAAAGGTGAGCCCATGGATAGATGGATTGGTGGATGGACAAGTGTGTGTGAGGACAGATTGTTGGGCAAATGGATAAACAGATGTGTGTAGGCAGATAAGTGGAGAGACAAATATGGATCAGTAGTCTGACAGGTGAATGGGGATGGCTAGTTGGACAAATGGATGGTGGATAGATGGTGGAAATAGGATGAAATGGGTAGATGGGCACCATAAGCTATGGACCCCTTCTAATTCCATAACTACTGTTCTCACTCATTCACTCATTCATTCACTTATGGCTCATTTGTTAATTCTGGTCCCTCTGGGCAAAAGATGGCAGGAGGGCTTCACTAGGAAGGGAGGGAAGGAAGGGCAGGAGGGCTTCACTGGGGTCTCCTCCCCTCCCCTAGACATGTCAGCCACGTGGGGTGGGACCCCCAGAATGGATTTGACGTGAGTAACTCCAAAGTCCCCTGGCCCCTGTTCAGCTCCCACCTACCCTTCCATAGTCCAGCGATCAGACCTACCTCCAGACCCTCCCCTTCCCACAGCCCTCTCAGCTCCCTCTCTGGGGTGGACCCGATGACAATCCATGTCCCTTCCCTCCCCACCTTATTCACCCATTCCTGGCCTGACCTTTTCCTTCGGGGCAGGTAAACAACCTGGACCCGGATCTGCGGAGCCTGTTCTCTAGGGCGGGAATCAGTGAGGCCCAGCTCACTGATGCTGAGACCTCCAAACTTATCTATGACTTCATTGAGGATCAGGGCGGCCTGGAAGCTGTGCGGCAGGAGATGAGGCGCCAGGGTGAGTCCCTTCTTCTGGACACCCCCTTCTTCTCCAACCCTGGTGGCTGATTTCCAAAAGTAATCACTTAGTCTTCTGGAAACCCCTCTACCGCTACAATTGGGAGTTGATCAGTTGGGTACCCATTAAAAATTTTTTTTAAATTGATTTCAGAGAGGAAGGGAGAGGGAGAGAGATAGAAACATCAATGATGAGAGAGAATCATTGATTGGCTACCTCCTGCAGGCCTCACACTGGGGATGGGCCCGCAACCCGGGCATATGCCCTTGACCAGAATCAAACCTGGGACCCTTTAGTCCACAGGCTGACGCTCTATCCACTGAACGAAACCGGCTAGGGCTCAGGTACCCAGTTTACAAATGAGTGAAACAGGCTTGGAAGAAAACTATAATAATAGCTATGTGTTATTTCCCCCCTCAGAGCCGCTTCCACCACCCCCACCGCCATCCCGAGGAGGGAACCAGCCCCCCCGGCCCCCAACTGTGGGGAGTAACAAGGGTCGTTCTGGTCCACTGCCCCCTGTACCTTTGGGAGGTGTGCCACCGCCACCACCACCAACTCCTCGGGGACCCCCACCTCCGGGCCGAGGGGGCCCTCCACCACCACCCCCTCCAGCCACAGGACGTTCTGGGCCACCACCCCCTCCGCTCCCTGGAGCTGGGGGTCCACCCATGCCACCACCACCACCACCTCCACCACCACCACCACCACCCAGCTCTGGGGATGTGCCAGTGCCTCCCCCAGTCCCTCCTACTCTGGGGCCTGTGGGGGGCCTGGCCCCTGTTGGTGGTCGGGGAGCCCTTTTGGATCAAATCCGGCAGGGAATTCAGCTGAACAAGGTGAGGACCAGCAGGATGAAGGACTGGGAGCCTGGGATTCTGGGTTGTACTGTGCAAATAAGGATGTTAGAGGACTGGGGCTGAAACTGATGGGGGTCCCAGGCTTGTGGAGTTCAGTGACAGGGTTGGGAGGTTGATGTGGAGAGGTGGGCTTGGAGCCTTGAAGGGGACTGGAAGGGGTGGGGAGAAATGCTCTCACAGGCCCTGAGCCCTCTGTGCTGGACCCTGCTTGCTGCAGACCCCTGGTGCCTCGGAGAGTTCTGCGCTGCAGCCACCACCTCAGAGCTCCGAGGGGCTGGTGGGTGCCCTGATGCACGTAATGCAGAAGAGAAGCAAAGCCATCCACTCCTCAGGTGAGAGTCTGCCCTCCCCTGCCACTTGCGGGCTGCCCTCTCTGGAGTCCAACCTGCCAGGACAGTGACCTTGCTTCCCATGGCTAGTGTTGGCCTAAAAACAACCCCAACAGTCTCCATCAATAGTAGCATTAGCCCCATCTGTTGATGATAGTGATAAGGTGAATCTTGTATCAGTCTCTCTCTCTTTTTAAAATCTTTTTATTGATTTTAGAGAGGAAGGAAGAGGGAGAGAGAGAGAGAGATAGAAACATTCAATGATGAGAGAGAATCATCTATCGGCTGCCTGCTGCACGGGGCGTGAGCCTGCAACCCAGGCATGTGTCCTGACCAGGAATTGAACTGTGACCTCCCGGTTCATAGGTTGATGCTCAGCCACTGAGCTATGCTGGCAGAGCTCAGTCTCCTTTTTGACAATGTTAATGTTGTCATTATGTAACAATAGTATAACTAAGTCTATCTTTGACAATAGTATTAACATTAATGACAAGGTATGTCCACATTATTAACATCAATCCCATTTATTCAGTAGTGTTAACATTAGCCTACTCTGTTATGATAATATTAGAGGCCCGGTGCATGAATTCGTGCATGGGTGGGGTCCCTCTGCCTGGTCTGGGCCGATCGGGCCGATCGGGCTGGCCAACCAGGGGGAAGGACCTGGGGAGGTTGGCTGGCCACAGGAGGTTGGCTGTGGGAGCGCATTGCCCACCAGGGGGGCAGCTCCTGCATTGAGTGTCTACCCCCTGGTGGTCAGTGTGTTGTCATAGCTACTGGTCGACCAGTTGAGTGGTTAACCGGTCATAATGGTTGCTTAGGCTTTTATATATAGAGATTAGAAAGAACCCCATCTTTGACACCCTACCTCTATGTGTCAATAGATTAACAGTAACTATGTGATAGTATTATAACTAACCCAATCTTTTTGTAATAATGTTAATAGGAATCCCTTAGTGTGTCAACAATATTATTATATGACAATTATGTGAGGATAATATGGAGTTCAATCTATTAGGTGACAATAATATAATTAACTCCAATTTGGACAATAATATTAACATTCATCCCAGAATGTATTCATAAGATTAACATGAATCCATTATATGACAATCTTCTATCTATATCTCTATATATAAAAGGCTAAGTGACTGACCGTACATACATCAGACCCTCCAACCAACCAACCGGCCAGTACATATGATGCACACTGGCAATTTAAAAATAAGCGTTAACTTGTGCATGTGAGATACATATAAAGCTCTTGCTGGCACCAATTGCATGCGTATGTTTTGATCTGTCATTGTCAATTGTGAATTTGGTTGTTTGTGCTGACATTCTGAAGCTGAAAGAAAGCACGTCGTCGACAGAATATATATAAAAGGCTAAGTCTACAATGTCTCAGTGTTGTGCCGCATGCTATGCCATCGGCCATAGTACAAATGAGTTTAAAGTGCTGTAGTGTTTGGGATGTTTCAGACCTAACATAATCAAAGCTGAAGTATTAACAGGATCTGCGGAAGGAGAGGTTGTTCTAATTCCAAGAATTGATTTGTCCCCATCTGACACTGGCCTCCCATATAAATTAATTCAAAGACAGTTTCCTGTGATGTCAGCATTTGCGATGACTATTAATAAATCACGAGGACAAACTCTAGACAGGGTAGGAATATTCCTACCTGAACCTGTTTTCGCACATGGTCAATTATATATGTTGCTTTCTCTCGAGTTCGAAGAGCGTGTGATGTTAAAGTTGTAAATACTTCTTCACAAGGGAAATTAGTCAAGCACTCTGAAAGTGTTTTTACTCTTAATGTGGTGTACAGGGAGCTATTAGAATATGTTTAATCAATTTATCAGTCATTGTTTTTATCAATGTTGTTTTATATCATGTTTTTGTTGCTTTTATATCATGTCTTTGTTGTTGTTATATCATGTTGTTATTTATTTATTGATTGATTTATATATTATTTTCATATACATTTTACTAATTTTCTTTCATCTCTGACACTTATATTATAAAGAAAAGGCAAATAGCGGTATTAAAATATTTCTTGTAATTAATTTCCTTTCAATTTGCACGAATCTGCTGGACCACTAGTATTATAATAAACTCCATATCTTTTGGAGTTAATATATTATTAACTCCATTATGTGTCAACAATATTAACATTAACCTGCTGTGAAACAATAATATTGTAATTTAGTCCACTTTTGCTAATAATATTTAAATTCACCCCATTAAGTGACAAGCCTGTTAATGTTAACCCTTTGTGTGACAATAATATCCCAACTAACCATACATTTTTGACAATAATATTAACTTAAACTCCAACTGGAGTTTAATAGGTTGAACTCCATATTATCCTCAATATTGTTGACACACTCAGTTAACCCCAAAATTCCAGACCACAACTATATCTTGTCCCAAACAGAAACCCTAATTCTCTCTCCTCTGAGGGGGCCTCATCCTTAGCCCCAGACCTGACTTCCTCACAGGAGACTTCAGCCCCCGCAGGACCCTGAGTCCTGAGTTTTTAATCCCTAGGAACCCCCCTCTCCAGGGCTTGTGAACCCTCCTGCCCATCTGAGTTCTACTCTTTCTGTTCCCCTCCAGACGAAGGGGAGGACCAGGCCGGAGATGATGAAGAGGACGATGAATGGGACGACTAGGTCACCACCATCCCCCCCTGTTCTGCACCTGATCCCCTGGCAGCTGTTGCTTACGGCCTTCTTCTCTCTGCTTCCAGGGCCCCAAGGCCCATTTCTTCTCTACCAACCCCCCCAATGCTGTAATCTCTGACTGACTCCCAGTCGCCTTAGCAATAGCCCCTTTTTATACAAAATTTCTCAGTTCTCAGTCAAGGATTTTAAAATAAAAATAAAATAACTGTCTTTTTGTTTCTCTAAATCTCAGTTTGTTTATATTCCAAATGTGGGAATTTGGGGTTCTTTTCTCCCAAAGTCCCTTTTATTCATCTATCCTATTTTTTAAATTTACTTTTTAATTTATTTTTATTATTGAAAGTATTGCATATGTCTCCCCCTTTAAAAAAATATTTTTTGCCCTAGCTGGTTTGGCTCAGTGGATAGAGCACTGGCCTGCAGACTGAAGGGTCCCCAGGTTTGATTCCGGTCAAGGGCACATGCCCAGGTTGTGAGCTTGATCCCCAGGGTGGGGGGTGTGCAGGAGGCAGTCGATCAATGGCGCTCTCTCTCATCATTGATGTTTCTATCTCTCTCTCTCCCTCTCCCTTCCGCTCTGAAATCAATAAAAATATATTAAAAAAACCATAACATGACTTTCTTTAAAAATATTTTTTTTATTGATTTTAGAGAGGAAGGGAGAGAGGGAGAGAGAGAGAGAGAAACATTAATGATGAGAGAGAATCGTTGATCAGCTGCCTCCTGCATGTCCCACAGAATCAAATTGTGATCTCCTGGTTCATAGGTCAATGCTCAACCGCTGAGCCACTCTAGCCGGGCCACATATGTCCCTTTTTTTCCCATTGACCCCCTCCACCCTGCCCTCTGCTCCCCGGCTCATCTATCCTATTTCATTTATTTAGCTTTACACATACATTCTTTCACTTGTTTCCTCAGTCATTTAACCTGTGTTTCTTTGTTTCCTTCTGCCCTTTTTTTCTTCCCACAAATATTTATTGTCAGGCACTACTTTAGGGTCTGGGATAAAGCAGTGGGAAAAATCGACAAAAATTCTTGCCCTAGTGGGGTTGACATTCTAGGGGAGGAGACAGACAAGAAAGAAGGAATAAAATAGAAACAAAAGATAGTTACAGACCATGATAAGTGCTGTGTGCTGAGGGGAAATGACATTCAGATATGGTGTTCAGGGAAAGCCACTTGGAGGAGGTGACAGTTATGCTGAACCTAAAGGCAAAGGAGTCAACCAGGTGAATATTTGGGGGAAGGGCATTCCAGGCAGAAGGAACAGCTAGTGCAAAGCCTCCAAAGTGGGGAAGAGCTTGGTATGGGGCTGGGTGTGGCAAACGAGTGGGAGAGTTCTTTATTCATTCACTTACTTATTTTTTAAAAACTGTTCAATCAAAAAAAAAAAAAAAAAATAAAATAAAAACTGTTCAATCAACACAATACTAGATCAAGAGAGTTCTCAATGGTCAGACTTCCCCACTCTCCAAGCACACAACTCACACAGGATCCTAATGGGCAGAATCCCCCTCTTTTTTTTTCTGCAATAGGGTTTTTATTATTTGTAACAGGCACAATTATTTAAAGTTAATAAATTTTTATTTAAGGAATTTCACATGTTCTGAGTCCTTCCACTGCCTTAGTTCCTCCCAAGTTTGAGTCTTAATCATCTTAATCCCTTTTTTGCTCAATCCAGTTGTAATTTCAGTCAGTCCTATATAACAGGAATAGAGATGATCATGTGATCACAAACTGTATGGTCACTAGCAACCCAGAAGAATTACCTAGGCAAAGGACATCAAGGCTCCAGAGATCTAAGACAGCTATAGTAAAATATCATTGATTACCAATGGCTATTACAAAATCACATATAGCTTGTGTTATATTTATAGTGGAAAACAGAGAATCCCCCTCTTAGTATTAAAATTTGGTTCTGCCCAGTACCCAATATAAACCAAGTCCTGGCCAATGGCAATGGAAGAGGCCATCAGATAGATCTGCTGTAGAACCCAGGCAAGATGCCACACCTCTGAGTCTCAGTTTTCTTATCTATACAATGGTGGTCACAACATGTAACAAATTTCCAACTGGGAGCCCACTGTTACATTAACAACATGTAACAACATGTAACAAATTTCCATCTGGAGCTGCCACCCCTGGGCCACCCCTCCTCCTCCTCCTCCAGGACTTGCCCTCCAGAATACTTGTTTTGGGAATGTATCTATAGAAGAAACTGGAAAGGAACAGGGAAACATTGTGTCAGGGAGTTTTTTCCTTTTAAAATTCCTTTAACATATTTTTAAAGTTTTTTTTTTTTTTAAAAAGATCATATTCTAAACCACTCTCATGGGTTGGACAGGTCTCTTGGACTTCAGGGAGTGGGAGGGAACTGCCTGCCCCAGGAGACTGGGAGCCTGTGAGGACTAACATCAGACTCTGTTCTAGATGGAATTAGGGAAGGAAGGGGAATGTATGGTGGGACTTATGCTGTTGACTATTCCACTTATGGCAAGCAGGGGCTGATGGAACCTGTAATTTCTCCAAACAGCTCACAGCTGGACTGACAGGCAGAATCCTATATAATAAACACTTAACATGCTAAGTGTCTAACCATTTGTTCAATCATTTGACCAGTCGATATGACATGCACTGAGCACCAGGAGCAGATGCTCTGACCGGTAGGTTAGCTTGCTGCTGGGGTCGGACCGATGGGGACTGGGTGAGATGGGCTGGACACACCCTGGAGCCCTTCTGAGGTCCCTCCCTGGCTGGCCAACCTCCTGTGGTCCCTCCCTGGTCGATCATGCAATCCAGGACTCCTCGGGGGATGTTGGAGAGCCAGTTTCAGCCTGATCCCCACAGGCCAGGCTGAGAAACCCCACTAGTGCACGAATCTGTGCACTGGGCCTCTAGTAACCTTATAACTGTATAACCATATAACTGGCTGACTATATAACTGTTTGGTTGACTACATAACTCATGGACCGAAAAAGAGAGGGGCAATTTCAGGAACTGACATAAGGACATAAGGTTTTCTGATGCTGTGCAGTACTGAATAGCTAACAATTACAGCGCACCTGGGACTGACTGGGGCTGGTGGTCTGACAGTGCAGAAGACTGGAAGCCTCCAGAGGGACTGACATGCTGGATGACTCCTAACCCATGGATGCTGTGGGTGGAGGATGACTATTGCTAGGAATCACACCTGGCCAGAGGAAGTGGCAGTGTATGGATGTTACTCTGCCTGGTGATGTGTAAAGGAGGGCTACCCTGGGGAGACTTCAGGCTGGCTGATGGACAGATCTGTGGCCCTCTGATAGGCAGCTGTCTCTGGTGACTGATTGTCTGACCTGACCAAATTACAGCATGTTTGACAGATCATGTGCTCAGTTGGATGCTGAGCATGACTACCTGGCTGATCTACAATATGATGAAGGGCAGACAGAATGGTTCACAAGCCAGCTGACCAAGAAAGAGCAGTGTAGCTGCCTGAGTTGATGACTATATTAGGTTAGAATCACAGTTGCCCAGCCCTAGCCGGTTTGACTCAGTGGATAGAGTATTGGATGAGGACCAAAGGATCCTGGGTTCGATTCTGGTCAATGGCACGTACCTTGGTGTACCTTGGTTGCAGGCTCCTTCCCAGCCCAGGCCCTGGTCAGGGTATGTGCAGGAGGCAACCAATCGATGTGTTTCTCTGACATCAATGTTTCTGTCTTTCCTTCTCTCTTCCACTCTCTCTAAAAGATCAATGGAAAAATATCCTCGGGTAAGGAAGAACAAACAAACAAAAAACAACAAAGAATCACAGTTGCCCTGATGGGTGACTGTCCAATGGGGGGCATGCCTCCCTGAAAAAGGACAGACTGCTGATCCACTGACAGGTGGCTTGGAGGCTTAATGCTACCTTTAGTTTCTGTGACTATTTGCTCTGAGAGAATAAACTACCTGATCATGGTCGGAATGTGGGGGGGAATGACAGTTGTTTGACAACTGATGGTGGATAGTGTGACTGCCTGACAGGGCTACATGAGATGCCGACAATGCCAGCCAGGCCTGACCTAATGGCAGCCTGCCCGAGGGCATGGCTGGTGTCTGGGGCTTCCTGAGTGGGGAGTGAGATGACTTCCCCAGGGAGATTCAGAGCAGATGCCAGTGCAAGGATAGCCAGAGAAATCGCTGCTTGAGTGACTGCCAGCGAAGGAGGGACAGGACCGGCTGGGGCAGTGACAGGCTTATGAGCAGTGTGGCTGTTAGTAAGCAGAGCATGTCCGCCTCTAGGGACTTGCCGCTGGCGGGGGTGGGGGAGTGCAGGCGGATGGCTGCTGCTGGTGACTGAGGGTGTGAATGGCAGGCATGGCAGGCGGAGTCTGATAAGCAGCTGTGATGAAACGCATTGTGCCATTTGAGTCGGGACTTATCCTGAGACCGTAATCTACCGTGGGCGGGGAGTCACGATCTGCTCGGGCTTAAAACGTGACGGGCTGCCCGGGGGTGGTAATTGGGGGTCTGACAGCACGACGGATTTCCGCCAGCAGCCTTCCAACCCCTGCCGCCCCGGTCTGGCTGGCTGACAACACGATTGGCTGACAGCGTGACAGACAGACCGGCGGACCGGCAGGGCCTCCCGCAACCTCCGTAGCCGCCGCCGCCGCCACCGCCGCCGCGCAGACGCACGCTGGGAAAGCGCCGGCGAGCATCCGGCTCCGGGACCGAGCAGAGTGGCGGGAGGGGTCCGGTCACGGCTCGCCGGTTGGTCGCGCGGCCCTGCTCGC